CACAACTTAGAAACTGAGAGTTTAAAAGCTGATTGGCTGCTCTCCATTTGATACAAAGTTTGTCTCAGAGACTATCCAGGGAATTTATTAAGCTTTAAGTTCACCTTTTCGGGCAGAATTTCACTTTTCATTATAAATAAAAGCGTTTTCTATTGATACTTCTGGCCCAGCCAGCCCAATGTTGAGTATCTCTAACTTATCTCATCTATAGAAGCTTTGCATTTTCATCTACTTGGATTTTTAAAAATATTTTTAGATTCCACCACTTCATAGATTGTATCCCAGCATGCACTTCTTTGCTGCATCACAGAAGTGGGGGCTCACCTGTCTGGACCACACCTCCCTCATTACTATACCACCTCGTTTTATTTCTATCCACTTTCTGTACAATCTGATTGTACAATATTTTTTAGGCCACGTACTAAGATGAGAATATCGGATGAATGATCGAAGCTATGAAAATTCAGACAATAAAAATTCAGAAGTGATGTAATGTATTGTATTGTATTGTATTTTCGGATGAAAATCATACAATCTGGTATTGTACAAGAAAAATTTTCTGTGCTTGTCCCTTCAAATAATTTTGGACGAAATCTGTGTACTAACGATTACTGTACGATTGCTTCAAAAGTGATATTTTTTGTATGATTTTCTGATCATGTGTACTAGGCCAGGGCTCGAAATTTCCACTCGCCTGCTCACATTGGCAAGTGGAAATATGGTGGGGGCAAGTGTGTCCAGACTGCAGCAGGTGACATTGATAGTTGGGGGATGATCGGTGCACTGGTGGGACAGCTACAAACACTGATCTCCCTGTAAAGATTTCAATGAAGCAGCTGAAAGCTGCTGGAGGAGAATCAGCTTCCAGCTGCTTCATTGAAATCTATACAGGGAGATCAGTGCTTGTAGCTGTCCCCACCGCTGCACCAATCATCCCCAACTGTCAATTGGATTTCTCCTTCTGGGCCCCCCTCGCCTGTGCTCCTCTGTGCCCAGCCCCTCCCCCGATCCTCCACGCCAACAGGAGAGAGAGAGGCTGGATCTAAACTGCCTCCCCCTGTCCCTGCCCACATAATTTGTGCAGCTTCTTAGAAGAGGATGTGTGGGTGGGAAATTGTAAAAAGAGCAGCCGACAGCTCTGTAATGCTTCTGAGTGAGTCCTTCCCTTCCCGCGTTCCTTCCCTCCTTTCTTCCCTTCCCTCCCTCCTTCCTTCCCTTCCTAGCCTCCCTCCATCCTTCCTCCCCTCCCTTCCTACCTCCCCTCCTTTCGTTCCTTTCTCTCCTTCCTTCCTTCATTTACTTCCCTCCCTCCATTCCTTCCTCCCCTCCCTTCCTTCCTCTCACCTTGCTTCCTTCGTTCATCCCTTCCCTCCCTTACTCTCACCTTGCTTCCTTCTTCCCATACTGCCTTCCTTCCCTCCCTTTCTTCCATCTCTCCTATGCTTCCTCCCATCCTTCCTTTCTTCAGTTACTTCCTTCCTTCCAAATATCTCTCCCTCCCTCCTTTTCTTTATTTTATCCTCCAGAAATAGCGTTCATGAGTGCAGCCAAAAGAGTTTAGTTTTGTATGGTAGTAATTGGTCCCATGTGGGGACACCTAATGTAAAGGGGTACTCTGATTTGATACCTGATGTAAAGGGAGACTCTAATTGGACACCTGATGTAAAGGAGGACACCTGATGTGTGTTTATTTAATAATTATTTTTGAAACTTTATTCTGCATAAAACATTTAACAGTGTCATTTCATGAGATAATTTACAAGGACGTGTTTAGGGGAGAGGCAGGGTAGGGGTTGGGTGGGGCAACTGGTGGCAAGTAACTCTTAAGGCCTGGCTGGTAGCTCAGGACTTGAAATTTTGAGCTCTGTACTAGGATTTAGATCCAACATCAGTTATGTAGTGCAAGAGCCTGTCTGATTTGATACAAATTGAATGGATTGTTCAGGTGCGTCCTCCTATTCCATAGTTCTGCTAAATCTAAAGGAAATTGTACAGATATTGTACAGTCAGATTGTATAGTGTATGATCAGCTTTATACAAGTACATAGGAAGACAGAGTGGGCAGAGACACTCAGCTGTCAGGCCCCGTTCACACCTCCGCAGAGCAGGGACTCATGTTCCCGCATGTGTATCTTTGGAGCGTTTCCGATCATCCTGCATAGGTCAAATCCACTCACTTCAATTTGTCGGCCTGCAACAAATGGAGAAGCAGTCCTGTGGCTGTATTTGTAAATACAGGCAGAGAACCTAACTAGTTCTAAGGCATATGGGTGCAAAGTGTCCTGCTTTTACTCATAATATGTGTGTTTCTTCTCTTCCTGGACTGAAAGGGCCACTTTGCACCCACACACCTTAGATAGGCACATTTAACCCCTCGATTGCCCTCATTAACATTTTGATCACCCCTGTCACCCAGCCAGTGCCATTAGTACAGTGTCATTGTTGAAAATACACTCATGGAAGTCATTGAATCGTTGCCAACATCCCAAAAGTGTACAAAAACCAAAAATACCCTCAAAAGGTACCATGGGACTTTTAAGGCAACTGAGATAAAATCCAGAAACACTTTATTTCAACATAGTAAAATCATACATGTCAAAAGGAAATTTGTAGAAACAAATCATACCAGCTGAATACTTTGAGAACAAAGACTTGGTGTTGTTGGGCATCTTCTTTCTCCCAATACTAGATGTGAAGGGGCAAAGCTTCTTCAGTGGGATACCCGACATGTTTCAGAAAAATTTAATTTGTTTCATCAGGGGTAGACTAAAGAGGAGCATGGTAAGATTGGATTCCTCCAAGACATATGCAAATACACCAAGAATAGTCGTATCTAATTAAAAGCAGTGTTATCAATCGTTGACACCCCAAGTGAACTGCTAAGCGGGGATCTCCTCCAAGAGGCCTAGAAGATCCCACACTGAGGTCACCCTAGCAAAGCCACAGCCGAGCTGGAGCAGACTGGTGCCAAGATACCATATGGTGGCATAAGCACATTTTGTGAGTGCTGGCACTTAGCGGTTCACTAGCCTTCTGAACGACATATCAGACTGGATGTCACTCCACTTCCTCAAACTAAACCTTGCTAAAACTGAGCTCCTAGTTTTCCCCCCAGCCCGCACCCCCCCCCCGGACCTCTGCATCACGACCAACGCCACCATCAGCCCCACCCTGCAAGCCAAAGTACTAGGTGTCATTCTAGACTCCAATCTGTCTTTGCAGATCCAGATCCAATCGCTGACAAATTCATGCAGACTCCACCTCCACAACATCTCCAAAATACGCACGTTCCTAACTCCAGAAACCACAAAGCAACTCATCCAAAATACGCACATTCCTAACTCCAGAAACCACAAAGCAACTCATTCACTCCCTTATCATATCACGACTTGACTACTGCAACTCCCTCCTCGCCGGCCTACCCCAACACAGGCTATCCCCACTTCAGTCTATCCTGAATTCTGTGGCCAGACTCATCCACCTCACCAACCGCTCCGTATCTGCCTCCCCCCTCTGCCAATCTCTCCACTGGCTTACGATTGCCCAACGCATAAAATTTTAAATATTAACATTGACATACAAAGCTGTTCATAACACTGCCCCAAACTACATCACCGACCTGATATCCATCTACCACCCAAAAAGCACTCTCCGCTCCTCACAAGACCTCCTACTCTCCAGTTCCCTGGTCTCCTCCTCCCATGCCCGTCTCCAGGACTTCTCCAGGGCTTCCCCCATCCTCTGGAACTCACTACCCCAATCTATCAGACTGTCACCTACCCTCCTCACCTTTAGGCGCACCCTGAAAACCCATCTCTTCAGGGAAGCCTACCCCGCCCTCTCCTAATTGCCGATCTCCTTCACTCTTCCTACCACTCCATCCCCCACAGCTATTTCCTCCTGTACCACTATCCCCTCCCTCCTAGATTGTAAGCTTCAAGGAGCAGGGCCCTCGAACCCCTCATGTATTTTAGTGTATTGTTACTGTACTGTCTCCCATTATAATGTACAGCGCTGAGAAAACTATTGGCGCTATATACTGTATAATAATAATATTGACATGATAGCATCAAGCAGCTGCTGCAGATTTGTAGGCTGCACATCCATGATGTGAATCTCCCATTCCAACACATCTCAAATGGATTGCGATCTGGTGACTGTGGAGGCCATTGGAGTACAGTGAACTCATTGTCATGTTCAAGAAACCAGTTTGAGATGATTGAGCTTTGTGACATGGTGTATTATCCTGCTGGAAGTAGCCATCAGAAGATGGTTACACTGTAGTCATAAAGGGATGGATATGGTCAGGCTGTGGCATTTAAACAAGGCTCAATTGGTACTAAGGGGCCCACAGTGTGCCAAGAAAATATCCCCCACATCATCACACACCACCACCACCAGCCTGAACCTTTGATACAAGTGTGGATGGATCCATGCTTTCATGTTATTTACACCAAATTCTGACCCTACCCTCTGAATATCGCAGGCTGAAATCGAGACTCACCATACCAGGCAACGTTTTTCCAATCTTTTATTGTCCAATTTTGGTGAGTCTGTGCAAATTGTAGCCTCCATTTCCTGTTCTTAGTTGACAGGAGTGGCACCTGGTGTGGTCCTCTGCTGATGTAACCCATCTGCTTCAAGGTTCAACGTGTTGTGCGTTCAGAGATGGTATTCTGCTTGGTTGTAACAAGTGGTTATTTGAGTTACTGTTGCCTTTCTATCATCTCAAACCAGTCTGCCCATTCTCCTCTGACATCAACAAGGCATTTTAGTCCACACAACTGCCGCTCACTGTATCTTTTCTCTTTTTTGGACCATTCTCTAAAAATCCTAGAGATGTTTGAGCGTGCAAATCCCAGTAGATCAGCAGTTTTCGAAATACTCAGACCAGCCCATCTGGCACCAACAACCATGCCATGTTCAAAGTCACTTAAATACCCTTTCTTCTCCATTCTGATACTCGGTTTGAACTTCAGCAAGTCGTCTTCACCACATCTAAATACCTAAATGCATTTAGCTGTTGCCATATGATTGGCCGATTAGCAATTTGTTTTACCAAGCAACTAAACAGGTGTACCTAATAAAGTGGTCAGTGAGTGTATAATGCTTTTTAATTTATCAAGCAACTGAAGTGGATCCTTCCTAAAATTTCAGGAAATGATCACGGCCCTTTTGTATCCAGAAGAAGCAGTGGCCCAAACCCTAAATCTAGATGCAGTGAGCCAGCTGTATGAGAGGCATTCTCCTGATGTCCTCTCTGGTACCCCAACCCAAGGGTTACCCCAAAGAAGATGCCGTATCTGTAGCAGACACGGAATAAGATGAGACACATGCTTTTTACTATTAGTATAAGGGTACAGTGTGGCACAGTCTAGGGCACACAATTCACACACAAGGATCTCAAAAGATGTTACTCAAGCAACTGTCTAGGGAATTTTGAGAGACCCTAAAATCAAAGACTGGAAAGTTCAGTTATGGTTCTGATAAGTTACAAAAAAAAGTTTAAAAAAGGTGTTCTATTGTTAACTATTGTTAGCCTTGCAGGAACGCCAGTAAGCTGCAGCACTGATCTGTATATTCTGACAGCAACAGGGTGTTGCTCTCAGAATATATGTCACTGCAAGAGGCGATTTCTCATCCGCAGTTAAAAAAAACACAACGTATATGCCTAAGCATGAGGGGTATGGCATGGTCAGTGGGCAGATCACTCCTATGCTTTGCATTTATTGATTTCTTTTTTTACTTTTTTTGCCAGAGAATTCTTCATCCATATCGATCGATGTAAAAAAAAAAAAAAAAAAAAAGACAATTGTTCATAATTTTCCAAAAACTTGAGGCAAAAAAATTAAAAAGTTTCACGCATGTGGTATCTCCATACTTAGAAGTAGGAGAATGTGTTTTGGGATGTAATTCCACACACCCATGGCATGTGTGATAAATATCTTATTAAAGTGACAATTTATCATTTTTTAAAGACTTGTTAAAAAAAAAAAAAAAAATCAAATCTTCCTTGGGCTCAGCATGCCTGTCAGCAAATTCCTTGGGGTATCTACTTTCCAAAAAGAGGTCATTTGAGGGGTTTTTGTAGAAATGTGACAGGCAGTCAGAAAGTAAAAGCTGCACAAATTCCAGTATATATATATATATCATAGTTTGTATGTCACAAGATAGCTTGCAATTTCCTGCCTGGGTGATCTTACCTCCTTGCTGCAGTGCTTTTCCTACCGTGTTGCCTTTCACATGTGTGGCTTGGGTTGTGCTCACCTATGGGTGTTGCCTGCTATTCTGTGGACTTTTATCTCCTTCCCTTCCATCAATTCTTGGTCCACAAATTAATTTTAGGGAAGGAACCCTAATAAAAGAAGGTAACATCTGAGGCTTGATGCTTAGTACTGAATCCTGCTGAGCATGGAAGTACATTCTGACAGTTCAAACAATATAGACAGTAGCTTCCATAATCATGGGGTCCCTGGTACAGTGACTTGGTGTCTGGCGTCCCATTGTAATATATGGAGGTGGAGCGGGGCTGAGTACTGGAAAGTTTTCTTTGCGCATGTGCTGCCCTCACACTGCAACGGAGGAAGTGGTGTAAGACTGGGAAAGAGAGCGGCGTTCCATTTGGCCACTGAAGGATGATGCATCCACCTTACGGTATCTGAACTTAGGGCAAGTGAGACCACCTGTATGAGATACAGATCTTGCATTGCCAGAAGGCTTTATTTGACAGAATGACAGAGCATGTCTATATTGTTTGAACTGTCAGAATGTACTTCCATGCTCACCGCGATGCAGTACTAAGCCTCAACCACATATATTGTGCAGCTCCAAGTGAATCTGCAGCCAGTGTGTTATTATGTGGTAACCGCCTATAAAGGCCACTCCACTGCCTTCCCAATCTGGGTCTACACTGCTGAGAGCAGTATACTCCACAATTCATGGAACTGATTTACCTTATATTGGATTGAAGAGAAATGTACTGTTTGCTTAAAATCTAAAATCTATCCACTATGCTGCGTGAGCAAAATGACCTGAATTATTATTTGCGCTGGCTTGACACCGTTTAATTGCTAATCAGCCAGTCACATGTCAGCAACTCAGGTAGACGTGGTGAAGACAACTTGCTGAAGTTCAAACTGAGCATCAGAATAGGGAAGAAAGGGGATTTAAGTGACTTTGAACATGGCATGGTTGCTGCTGCCAGACAGGCTGGTCTGAGTGTTTAAAAAAACTGCTGATCTATTGGGATTTTCACGCACAACCATCTCTACGGACATCTCAGGAAATGGTCCGTAAAAGACAAAATATCCAGTGAGTTGGAGAAAAACCCTGGTTTGATGTCAGAGGTCAGAGGACAATGGACAGGCTGGTTCACTAGAACAGAATGGCAACAGTAACTCATATCAATATAGACCAAAATCTCTGTTTCCAACACTTTGGTGAATCTATGCCATTAAAGTGATTGTAATGGCTCAAGGTTTTTTACCTTCATGTATTCTATGCATGAAGGTAAAAAACCTTCCATGTGCAGCATCTCCCCCCCCCCCCCAGCCCCACTAATACGCCCCTAAGCTCCTTCTCGATCCAGCGAGAGAGAGAGGTGTCTTCTCATTGGCTCACTGGCTGTGATTTACAGCAGTGGGAGCCAATGGCTCCTGCTTCTGTCTCAGCCAATGAGGAGAGGGAGTTCTCGGGCTAGCCGGGACTCCAGTGCACATCGCTGGATCGAGAGGGAGCTTAGGGGCATATTAGTGGGGCTGGGGGGGGGGGGGGATGCTGCACATGGAAGGTGACTGGCTGATTAGCAATTTGTGTTACCAAGCCATTGAACAGGTGTACCCAGTGGGTCAAGGTCACCCAGTGCCCAGGGCAGAGATGCCAAATTGCACCCCAATCCCAATTCATGATGTGCAAGCTTATCGGATCCTATGCACAGCAGTCACTTGCTTGTGAAACCCCTGAAGACATGCATGCTCATGAAACGCATCGGGTGGAGCTGCACTTGCTGATGTCACGCCACCGTTGGAACGGTGGCCATCTTGTGATCTATTCCTCATAGGAGAGGGTCCACCTGCATTTTTTGCCCTTGGCTGAGCATCCCTTGCAGAGGCTTCATTGCTGTTACCTGTACCCAGATGAGATGTGCTTACATGCTGTTTACCAGTAGATGTCTGGCGAGTGTACATCTAAAAAGGTGGTGGATTCCCTATGGGTCACTTCAATATTTCACCGTGATTGCCGTACTTCTATCCTTACGGACAATTTATAGCTCTTACTCTACTGATATTTTATGCTGCACTTTACTGTTTCACATTTATTGAATGATTTATTGAACATTTTTTATATTTTTAAATGCTCCACTTGACTATTCCGCTGATCAATTTTTTTTCCTCTATACTGTATGTCAGATTGACTTTGCACTTTATTTTCACTATAATATTATTCGCTTATTTTAGCGCTGCACTTTCTACATATGTATCTAAATTAGCCCCAGTTTGTATATGTATGCATGTGAAATAGGGATCTTATGCACCATTCACATGGGCAGTGTCCAGTCCTATCAGCAGGGAATTCATGTACAGATCTGCTGCTGAATTGGAACAGAACAGATGTCACATTTGTGACATTTGGATTTAATCAGTTTTTTTTGCTACATTTTAAAACTAAAGCTTTCCAGACCCATATTAGAATAGACCTATGAGCAGCCAGATATAAACTAAATTGTGTCCGTTTACATCTGACTATCTCAGATCTGTCAGATTTAGGTCCAAAAAAGCAGAAAAAGACGCAGGCCTTTTCTATTTTATTTTGAAGACCCCAACAAACTCGCAAATTCAATGTAATGGACGTCAATTCACATAAAGGTATTCACATAAAACATTTGATCAGGTCCACCTGAAAAACTGGCAGACATGCCTGATCAAATTGCCAATGAAAAGGGCCTTAGATTGTAAGCTCCTTGAGGGCAGGGACTGATGTGCATGTACAGTATGTAAAGTGCAGCATAAATTTCCAAAGCAATATGTAATACATAATTACCTGTATAAAATGAATAATAAAAGTACATTAATAAGAGCCACCAGCAGCAATAAACTGTTGTCTACAGCCAACGTATCACAGACCAGACCTTCTATCTGACACATTTGCAAGTATGTATGAACATTCAGAGGTGCTAATGTGCACTACACCCTTGTGTGGAAGTGGAAATAACTCACAGAACACAAAGTCATTCATGCTGCTGAAGAGGGGACTTGCTAACCAATCTTTTATCATGTAAATACTCTTACATATCAGTCTAAGGCTGGCCATAGATGGGCCGTTTATCAGCCGAATTGTCGGCCGATAAACGGAAAATCGGTTGTTGCCGTTGACGATGCTGCCACCGATGTCTACGAAAAACGGTCGTTTTTTCGTGGATTTTCCAGCATGACCGATAAAAATAAAGGAGAAGATCCACGAAAAACGGCCGACGGCATTGCCCCACTAACGGCGTGAACGGCCGATTTTTTTTGTGCGGATGACAATTCGGCCGATAAACGACCCGTCTATGGCCTGCATAAATCAGTGCTAAATATTCTACCTACAAAGCAAATAAATGTTGTGCAGTGCCACATAGGGCCTGCTTGCCTGGTGTTTCCTATTGAGGTTACTGTTGAAGTGAACATATGAGAGCAGAAATTAGAAAGCTGTCATCACTGATTTGGCTTTTAGGCCCCATTCACACTTGCGAATGTGGCTCTTTGCGGTTAGATGAGTGAGACCCAGCGGTGGTTCCCTGCAATTAGCTGCGGGTGGGAAGCCCCATTGACAGCAACAGGAGGCTGACAGCTCCTGCAGCTATTTGCAGCAGATTGCATGTACTCGCTCATGCAGCCTTTACCTGTGAGTGATCAACCCTGGATTCAGACTGTGCATGGAATGAACTGATCTATGGACCCCAGATTTATTCAGATCATTTTGGGGACTCCCTATTAATTAATATACATAAGCTAATTTAAAGAAAGAGTGGTATTAATAAAA